CTGGTGTAGATTTATTTCAATAAGCGAACCTTTTTCAAATGTTTTCATCACATTCAGCGAAAAAACATTGAGACATGAGTATCACATTGCTATAATTGGGATTATTTAGTCATATTGAAAGAAAGAATATTGAACGTCGTATGATTACTCAGCGCTTCACAATTTAATTTAAAGTTATAAATCTTTAAAAAATGAATGATCAGGAACCTGAAATACGCGCAAATATTAATATTAACAAATTATAACTTTATAAAGCTTAAAGTATGAATTAAAATGATTAGAAATATTAGGAACGGTACACAATATAAAACTTAGTAACTTTTTTTAAGTTTATAATATTCGACATATTTTAAGATTATATTAAAAAATTATTGAAATATCGAAAACACATAAAAACATGGCTTAAAAAAGTTCTAACAAATGAAAATGACAATAAAACATCCACGCATTTTATCGAAAGTTATAAAAGTTTTGTTACTTGTAATATGTTTTATCTGCCCCCTGGAATTAATGTTTAGAACCTTGTTCCCAAGGTTTGAAAAACATCCGATTGTTGTCTATTACTCGTATTTACCTGCTGGATTTTTTAATCCGGTGGACAGTCCATCTAGAAAGGCCCTCCTGGATGAAGTTACAGAATCATCAACCCATACTTTACTTGTAGTGTGTCCTGCGTTTACCCACGTTTCATCAAGGTAATAAATCTTCCTGTTTTGATTTCTATATTTCCCAATTTTTGTTAAATAATCCCTCCTCCATAGCACAATTTCTTCTCTATCCAGTAGTAAACTATTACGACCCCGTTTTTTCCATTTGAAATTTAAATGCTTCAGTAACGCATGGAAAGTTGATCGTTTGAAATTTGGCAACGTTGTATCTCCATTTACCTCCTGCAGTACTTTATCTATAGTAGGTATTTCATTCCTAAAGAAGAATTCATGCACTTTCCTCCTAATCGCATGCTTATCAGCTTCATCCAATGATTTAACAATACTTTTGCGATGTTTACTGATCATTGGCTCAGAAAAGGTGTGATTTTTTTTGTATTGTCTTAACACATTAAACACTGATGCGCGACACACCCCAACTTTGTGAGAAACCTTCACAACAATTTCTTTGATGGTTGATGCCTCGTTCTCCTCGCGCTCGATCTTATATATATTCAAAATGACCTCTTTCATTTCTGCACTCAGGTGTCTTTTTTAGAGCGTTTCCTAGGTGGACTACAGGAGTTTACAACTTCATCGGCAGTATCTGTACTACTGGGCATTTTGCGCAAGCAGTTGATAACAATAACAATCAATAACAAAGTATAACAATAACAACGACAAACTCAACAACTTAATAAGATAACAAACGAAAACGTCCAAAGAAATATCAAATTGCAATGATGCACACGACATACGTAACACGTCTGAACCTGAATGTGACTCTGCCTTGATACGACTGCTCTGCCGCTCGGCATAGGCATTTAATTGCGAATTGACCAATGAGGGCTTCTGTTTTACGTCGAGACGGCGGCGTTAGCGTGAAAATCACCCGAACCTTTTGTTTACATCCGGTCTATCTCTTATCTGAATATACTGTAGATCTAGTGAAATTTCACTAGATCTGGCAACATTGAAGTGAAAGCAAGTGAAAGTAGGGTTATGATTTCGGTCACGTCAAAATGGCATTGTTGGCAGGTCTTATCATTCTGTGCCTGACAACATAGTGCTTATGGTATTTCCAACTGCTGCATATTTGAGGTTCAATGGAACAGAGCTTGACTGACAGATGAACAACGCACGTGCATTTGAACTAAGTTCATATTTGAACTGGAGTTCAGGTGATCCACAGTTTAACCGAGAGTTGATCAACCGGTCCATAGTGTACTTGTCGCAGCGCCATGTTATATTTTCGATTTGTTAACATATATTTTTCATTGAGACACTAGATGTTTTACGATTAACTTTATTGTATCAACTTCAACCAGTTTCACATTAATTAACATCGGAAGTGTTCACAATCCATCACTAGATTGTCAGTTGTCACTTCGTACCAACTCAACATGTTTCACATTAATATCAACTTAAAGATATACATTTCACAACACTCTGGACGTATGAGCAGTGGGCCCATCCTGTTGAAACCATGTGTTTCTGTTAAATCGACGTTCTGTTCTTACAATAGGAGCAAAAAAAGTTCAATCATGTCTTTTTATCGCTCGGAATTGACTGTCAATGCATGATCGTTGTCATCTTCAATAATATCGCTAGAGGATATGGCGCACCAAACCGCACCTTTGGACTATGTAGTTGTTGTTGTTGCTTCTCTTTTGTGTTCGTTGGTGCCCAATATCTATTTTGCTTGTTCACATAACCGTCTAAGTGAAAATGGGCATCGTCACTGAAAACAACGTTCTCGAATCTGCGCTGTATAGGAAAAAGATTCAACATCCGTTCAGAACAAGATTTCCGTAATATGTAATCACTTTCCTTTAAAGCATGGAGTGATTGGATCTTATAAGGATGAAAACCCAGTTTTTTCTTCATTATGCCATGCAGTGTTGACCTAGAGATTCCCAAAGCAGCGGAATGTTTCCGTACAGAACGCCGAGGATGTGCAATGACCGAATCACTTACTCGACGCACATTTTCCTCAGTTTATATAGTAGGTGTGGGGCCAGGAATGGGTTGACTAAGTGTACAGGCTGTTTCACAGAAACTCTTAATGAACTTTTTCAATAGGTTCTTACTTGGGGCACTTCTTGGTCGGCGAATGTTGTATCGTGTACAAAATTTCCGAAGAGCAGCTGCGTATGAATCACCAGTCCTCGATAGCAAAAGCACGTTGCGCTCCGGTTCAACGTTCCATTGTGACTATTTAACTCGCACGCCGAACGGCCGAACGCGTCGATCAAGACCTCTCCCCACTTCCTCGCGTATACGTAATTCAAATTTGGAATGTGAACTTTTCCACTGAATGCCCTGTATTACTGCAGTCAGATTGTTGGTTTTTTTCTGCTATTTGAACCACATGCAAAACATTTATAAATAAGAATGATTAAAAATAGATCCTTATATTTAATACTATATATAATAATAAAAAATGCACAGCATCAGTAAAGTTTTAAATGTCCAGTAATTTTATCTAAAATGCTTTTTGCTGCAGGTCCAATTGCTATCACAGTTCTGCTACCAGGGGCTACCTGTGTTTGCCCTGCATCACGGATGATACTTGATAACACATTGAGTTTCTTAGCCTCCTTATCTAATTCCAGAAGTTCAGCTTCGGAGTCTATTCTAACAGCTACTTTGGTTCCACCTATAAGAAAAATAATATTAAGTGACAATGCTGCGAATATTTGAATTAGTTTCATATCAATTTATCATAAAAAGGGCAGCGGTTTATAGCATTATAGAGCATAATGAAAACTGTCCGGAAATCTTAGTTATGGATGTATGCAATTATTCTTTTGTACCAGAATTTGTTGCATGTAAGAAAAATCCTGTGTACTTACTGCACATTATCCGATATTTACGAATACCAAACACGAGGAAAACAAATTAATACGTCCAAGAATCTGAATCAATGTAACCAAAAGCCTTGGCGTTCAATATCATAAGATATGTCCTACGAGTAAAGAGTTATCGGTCCGCTTCTGGGTCTTGTAAAAAAAAGGTTAAATTAATTTTGTTAGACTTTTAGGAATTTAAAATGTACCGTGGGAATGCTATTGTTAGCGAAACTATATACAGGGAAAACCAAATCTTATTATTATATCAAAATACTCAGAAATACATGCCATTTTTTGCGTAAAACAAAATTTACATTCTAAAAACTATGTCGGCCATATGGCGCCCTTGAGCCGAAATGCAGGAATCAGGCCTCTCCCGAAATGAGCCCATTGCGTCGGCCAGCATCTGTGCAGGTATTTGGGTCACTTCTTATTTCCTCCTTCAAATAGACGACGGTCCAAGGCTTGCTTTGGTAAACTTTTGATGTCAGGTAGCCCCATGAAAAAAATCACACGTTCACAAGTCCGGGGAGCGAGAGGACCATGGAATATCGCCATGACGTGAAATGAGACGTCCTGGGAATTTTTGCCGAAGAAGTTCCATCGAAGTGCGAGCTGTGTGAGATGTTGCCACGTCTTGTTGCAACCACACTGTTCTGAGACGGACACGTCGACGTCGAATTTCCGGGAAAAAAAAGTTGTTCAGCATGTGGATGTAACGCTCTGAATTCGCAGTAGTTGTTTCTCCATCATCCTCAAAAAAATAAGGGCCAATAATCATCGTTGGGCGTACTGCACACCAAACTGTAAGTTTTGGGGTATGCAAGGGTGCTCATTTTTTTTTTACTTCAACTACCACGAAGGCCTAAGGCCTAAGCACCCATTGGGTACCGTGGGGCTATAGGGGGATACATGGGAAAGGGGGAACGCCACATGGAGTGATTGGATCTTATAAGGATGAAAACCCAGTTTTTTCTTCATTATGCCATGCAGTGTTGACCTAGAGATTCCCAAAGCAGCGGAATGTTTCCGTACAGAACGCCGAGGATGTGCAATGACCGAATCACTTACTCGACGCACATTTTCCTCAGTTTATATAGTAGGTGTGGGGCCAGGAATGGGTTGACTAAGTGTACAGGCTGTTTCACAGAAACTCTTAATGAACTTTTTCAATAGGTTCTTACTTGGGGCACTTCTTGGTCGGCGAATGTTGTATCGTGTACAAAATTTCCGAAGAGCAGCTGCGTATGAATCACCAGTCCTCGATAGCAAAAGCACGTTGCGCTCCGGTTCAACGTTCCATTGTGACTATTTAACTCGCACGCCGAACGGCCGAACGCGTCGATCAAGACCTCTCCCCACTTCCTCGCGTATACGGTTGCCACGTAATTCAAATTTGGAATGTGAACTTTTCCACTGAATGCCCTGTATTACTGCAGTCAGATTGTTGGTTTTTTTCTGCTATTTGAACCACATGCAAAACATTTATAAATAAGAATGATTAAAAATAGATCCTTATATTTAATACTATATATAATAATAAAAAATGCACAGCATCAGTAAAGTTTTAAATGTCCAGTAATTTTATCTAAAATGCTTTTTGCTGCAGGTCCAATTGCTATCACAGTTCTGCTACCAGGGGCTACCTGTGTTTGCCCTGCATCACGGATGATACTTGATAACACATTGAGTTTCTTAGCCTCCTTATCTAATTCCAGAAGTTCAGCTTCGGAGTCTATTCTAACAGCTACTTTGGTTCCTCCTATAAGAAAAATAATATTAAGTGACAATGCTGCGAATATTTGAATTAGTTTCATATCAATTTATCATAAAAAGGGCAGCGGTTTATAGCATTATAGAGCATAATGAAAACTGTCCGGAAATCTTAGTTATGGATGTATGCAATTATTCTTTTGTACCAGAATTTGTTGCATGTAAGAAAAATCCTGTGTACTTACTGCACATTATCCGATATTTACGAATACCAAACACGAGGAAAACAAATTAATACGTCCAAGAATCTGAATCAATGTAACCAAAAGCCTTGGCGTTCAATATCATAAGATATGTCCTACGAGTAAAGAGAGTTATCGGTCCGCTTCTGGGTCTTGTAAAAAAAGGTTAAATTAATTTTGTTAGACTTTTAGGAATTTAAAATGTACCGTGGGAATGCTATTGTTAGCGAAACTATATACAGGGAAAACCAAATCTTATTATTATATCAAAATACTCAGAAATACATGCCATTTTTTGCGTAAAACAAAATTTACATTCTAAAAACTATGTCGGCCATATGGCGCCCTTGAGCCGAAATGCAGGAATCAGGCCTCTCCCGAAATGAGCCCATTGCGTCGGCCAGCATCTGTGCAGGTATTTGGGTCACTTCTTATTTCCTCCTTCAAATAGACGACGGTCCAAGGCTTGCTTTGGTAAACTTTTGATGTCAGGTAGCCCCATGAAAAAAATCACACGTTCACAAGTCCGGGGAGCGAGAGGGCCATGGAATATCGCCATGACGTGAAATGAGACGTCCTGGGAATTTTTGCCGAAGAAGTTCCATCGAAGTGCGAGCTGTGTGAGATGTTGCCACGTCTTGTTGCAACCACACTGTTCTGAGACGGACACGTCGACGTCGAATTTCCGGGAAAAAAAAGTTGTTCAGCATGTGGATGTAACGCTCTGAATTCGCAGTAGTTGTTTCTCCATCATCCTCAAAAAAATAAGGGCCAATAATCATCGTTGGGCGTACTGCACACCAAACTGTAAGTTTTGGGGTATGCAAGGGTGCTCATTTTTTTTTTACTTCAACTACCACGAAGGCCTAAGGCCTAAGCACCCATTGGGTACCGTGGGGCTATAGGGGGATACATGGGAAAGGGGGAACGCCACTCGGACTCTGGCGAGGGAACACGTGTGCATGCAACATGCACACATTCTGGCTCCGCCTACGAGATCCGCCGGGTGGTACCTCCGCGTTCGACAGTCAGAGACCGTCTACCACCTACGGACAATCACAACATCCATAGCCAAGAGAAAAATTTCTCCTGGGACGGGACTCGAACCCGCACAGCGCACGGCGACTGATCAGGAGACCGAAGAGTCTACCACTGCGGCCACCGCTGCTGCCTGCATGCAACTGTTGTTGATTCACTGGAGACCAGTATCGACAATTTTGTTTATTGACGTATCCATGTAAATGAAAGTGTGCTTCATCACTGATAAACAACGTCATGTCATTATTATCCAACTGTTCAATCATGAGCTGTGCAAAATTAACACGTTGTGCATAATCCAATGGCAACAGTTGTTGACAAACTTGGATTTTGTAAGGATGGAACACTAAATCGTTCTTCAAGATGCGACGTACAGAGGACGCGTGGATCCCTAGGGAACGGGCACGCAAGCGGCGGAACAATTCGTGCTTTGCAGCGTGTCAACTGTCACTCTGTCTTCGTTTTCGAGGGGTTCTAACAGTACGGTTTCGCCCTGTTTTATCTTCATCACATTACCTGTCGTGTGGAATGCTTCCACCAATCTCAAAATGGCGTGACGATCTGGTACTGTCCCACGACGTGGAACACGAAAGTGAACGCGAAACTCACGTTGAGTTCGAACGACAGACTCGCCATTTTGAAAGTACCGACGTACAGTGAACACACTATGCTCAACGTTCCAAACCATCTTGCCAACTGAAACGGCACTTCTCCCACTATTCAACACGCCCTTTCCCACCGACAGGGGTACAGCCGACTCGATGTAGTAGCCATTCGAAAAACATACGTTCTTTCTGACGGACGCTGTATAAATTACATTTCTTATTGTAAAATATATTATTTCTGAGTCATTACGTGTGGCTTTTTGTGCTTTTATGATTTGGTATTGGGTACAACAAGAAACAACATAAACGTATATCATACGTAAGCAGCATAGTCATTTTACAAGTTAAAAAAATCTATAAAAGTGCCGTTCCACCAAAATCAATTTAGACTCACATATACCACATATGTATAACCAAATTTGTCTGACGGCTTGAGTTCAATATGTACGAGAGAGAAGTGCAAGAAGTGTGGATCAACACATGCTAAAGAGATAGAAGCCGGGTGAAGAGCGATGGTCATCACCACATTGCCTAGCGACGGTGCCGCAGCAAGTCGTGCAATCTGCCACGTTACCAATATGTTACATCAGAATTCAAAAATGTGGAGCTCAAAATAAAACCATTATGTGGACGTAGAGAATAAACTAATGCATATTTTCAAGATGTAACTTAATTCAAGGAAATGGTGTAACATATTGGCAACGCGACAGAGTGCCGCGTCAGCGTTGCTAGGCAACGCGGTGATGAGCTTCGCTATCTAGCCGGCTTGTATATCGTTATAACATATGTGTCTATACACACTTCTCTCTCGTGCACATTGAACTCAAGCCGTCAGACAAATTTGGTTATACATATGTGGTATATGTGAGTCTAAATTGATTTTGGTGGAACGGCACTTATATAGATTTTTTTAACTTGTAAAATGACTATGCTGCTTACGTATGATATACGTTTATGTTGTTTCTTGTTGTACCCAATACCAAATCATAAAAGCACAAAAAGCCACACGTAATGACTCAGAAATAATATATTTCTTACAATAAGAAATGTAATTTATACAGCGTCCGTCAGAAAGAACGTATGTTTTTCGAATGGCTACTACATCGAGTCGGCTGTACCCCTGTCGGTGGGAAAGGGTGTGTTGGATAGTGGGAGAAGTGCCGTTTCAGTTGGCAAGATGGTTTGGAACGTTGAGCATAGTGTGTTCACTGTACGTCGGTACTTTCAAAATAGCGAGTCTGTCGTTCGAACTCAACGTGAGTTTCGCGTTCACTTTCGTGTTCCACGTAGTGGGACAGTAACAGACCGTAACGCCATTTTGAGATCGGTGGAAGCATTCCACACGACAGGTAATGTGATGAAGATAAAACAGGGCGAAACCGTACTGTTAGAACCCCTCGAAAACGAAGACAGAGTGAGAGTTGACACGCTGCAAAGCACGAATCGTTCCGCCGTTTGCGTGCCCGTTCCCTAGGGATCCACGCGTCCTCTGTAAGTCGCATCTTGAAGAACGATTTAGTGTTCCATCCTTACAAAATCCAACTTTGTCAACAACTGTTGCCATTGGATTATGCACAACATGTTAATTTTGCGCAGCTCATGATTGAACAGTTGGATAATAATGACATGACGTTGTTTATCAGTGATGAAGCACACTTTCATTTACATGGATACGTCAATAAACAAAATTGTCGATACTGGTCTCCAGTGAATCAACAACAGTTGCATGCAGGCAGCAGCGGTGACCGCAGTGGTAGACTCTTCGGTCTCCTGATCAGTCGCCGTGCGCTGTGCGGGTTCGAGTCCCGTCCCAGGAGAAATTTTTCTCTTGGCTATGGATGTTGTGATTGTCCGTAGGTGGTAGACGGTCTCTGACTGTCGAACGCGGAGGTACCACCCGGCGGATCTCGTAGGCGGAGCCAGAATGTGTGCATGTTGCATGCACACGTGTTCCCTCGCCAGAGTCCGTGTGGCGTTCCCCCTTTCCTATGTATCCCCCTATAGCCCCACGGTACCCAATGGGTGCTTAGGCCTGCGTGGTAGTTGAAGTATATAAAAAAAATGAGCACCCTTGCATACCCCAAAACTTACAGTTTGGTGTGCAGTACGCCCAACGATGATTATTGGCCCTTATTTTTTTGAGGATGATGGAGAAACAACTACTGCGAATTCAGAGCGTTACATCCACATGCTGAACAACTTTTTTTTCCCGGAAATTCGACGTCGACGTGTCCGTCTCAGAACAGTGTGGTTGCAACAAGACGTGGCAACATCTCACACAGCTCGCACTTCGATGGAACTTCTTCGGCAAAAATTTCCAGGACGTCTCATTTCACGTCATGGCGATATTCCATGGCCTTCTCGCTCCCCGGACTTGTGAACGTGTGATTTTTTTCATGGGGCTACCTGACATCAAAAGTTTACCAAAGCAAGCCTTGGACCGTCGTCTATTTGAAGGAGGAAATAAGAAGTGACCCAAATACCTGCACAGATGCTGGCCGACGCAATGGGCTCATTTCGGGAGAGGCCTGATTCCTGCATTTCGGCTCAAGGGCGCCATATGGCCGACATAGTTTTTAGAATGTAAATTTTGTTTTACGCAAAAAATGGCATGTATTTCTGAGTATTTTGATATAATAAAATATTTTTTTCCATATTTATTTTGACTGTAGATTTAAAAAACATGCGTTCTTTCTGACGGACCCTGTACCTAAAATTTCTCCGAGCTAAGTTGTGATGAACGAAATCAATTTTTCAGCTTGTTGATAGCAAATGCCTCCTCTTTTTCTCATAAACTTCTTGCTTCTGCAAGTAGCCTCTCTGCTACTGGGCGCTGACAGATAATTCTTTCCGAATTCAGGATTATTGACACTGTTGTACGTTTGCTGACCACCATTTGTAAAGGTCAGCTGTACGGTCTAGACAGGCCGTTTTTAGATGAAAATCGATCTGATTTGCTATACCACTTTTCCACATCCCCATCTTTGTCCATATTTTTTATGACAACTTCCTCAAAACAACTTTAGAAACTGCTGTGCTTTTCAATGGTTTAGGTATTTTTATCGACATTGTAACGTAGCAAAATCACGTCTTTTTTTACTATTTTGATCACTTACCAGTAACTTGAACTACTCTTTATTAATGATAGAGTACCGATTCCTAAG